AATTTCGAAATAAAATTTTAATAGCGAGCTCATAACAAAGTCTACGAGCACCTACATTCTGTGATATTTTGTATTTTACTAAACAGAATGGTTCATATATACATACATAGTAAATATGTATTTGTTTCTTAGAATGCATACCTTTATATGTATCATATAAATCTCAACCAAGCCACTGCTATGTTACATTATAAAATAATATTGTGATTTTCTATATCGAAGTCTATTTTTTGAAAGAGGAAAAATGCTTTCAACTTACATCTTTTCTGGCTCATATTCTGGAATTTTTGGTGGGCTTTTTAGCTAGCTATTATACTATTTATGATCTTAAGATGGCCCAAGGAACTGTTAGCCTTATTTTTGATCAGCATTTATTAATTGTAAGTGTTAAGCAGTTGTGTGTGGTGTTTCAGCACACTCATACAGTGTGCACTGTTCAAATCCGGACCCCCGACTCCCATTTAATTCCTTCCATCAGGCCATCCTTCATCTCCCATAATCAATACTCATTAGTCAGGTTCAATACTTTTTAGGCCTCCACATTATATAAGTGAACATGGGGAATCTAGTCATCTAGTTTCTATTTAAATTAACGTCTTCTGGTTCCACGCATTTGCTGCGAATGACAGATTTTACCCTCTATGGCTGAATGACAGAAGCAAGCTCTATCATGAAACAGACAGGTGATACAACCCAGATAGTACCAGCACAGAACCAGGAGTCACAAGACCTGAGCTCAAAGACAGCTTTGCCAACGGTTGGATAAAGCACTCCGGTGAAACCACTAAACTGCATGGGCTTTGGCTGTCACCTCGATCCCAAAACTAAATCAATACTTCACAAAGCTCTTGTGGAAGTGCGGGGCGGTAACTTGTACTCTGTGAATTGTAGTACGTCTCTTTGTGTATTCTCTGTGCAGAGGGTAGATGGCTCTGCCTTCATACAGCGGGACAATACTTTTTTTTTCTTTTTTGATTAGTGGCAAATTCACAAACTTAAACATAATGTCGTTTACTATCATTTTCCAGGTCACTCCTTTTCATTCTGAGCCACCTTGCTCTAACTATACCTCCACTCCCATCAGTTCTTTACTTAGAAGACTATTTTCTTTGCATCTCATAAAAGATGCCTCTCCGACAAAAGAAGATGGTCTTTGAGCTTGCTAGTGAGGTTTTGTGAAGGACAGGGTAGGGTAAACCCATTATAAGTTTCAGTGAAGAACTGGTCACTGGTAGCTATGGAGTCCACACATGACAGGAAGCCCCTGCTTCTCCTCAGCTATTTCATGCCCCTTACACTGGTTACCACGACCCCTTAGTGTTTCTCTTCAGGTAGAGCAGAGATAGAGCTAACGTGCTACCTAGACTCAATCCCTTTCTTGTTGTCTACTAACACATCCCTGTTTGCTCTACAGCCTCACCTCTTTTCCAAGCCTCTACAGAGAAATCATGTATTCCATTCTACCTTAAACTCCTGCTGACATGTTCTTCCAAGCATAACTTGCAGTCAATTTTTTTTTTGATATTTTAGGGCATTTCTAGGACAAGAGTCCACTACCATAAGGAGCGATTCGTTCTCCTGTGGAATGTTTTTAAAAGTAGACTTTTACTATGTTTAGGGTCAGCATCTCTCGCCCCATCTCTGACCACCCACCTAGTTCATGTGAGCGGCCTACCACCGAACACACGAGTGTGAATATGTGTGTATGCGTGTCTTCTGTGAGACAACTCCTCAGTAATCGGGTATCAAAATTTCTGACTGGAATTCGTGTCCAGACATATATTGTCAAAGCAGAGAGTCAGAAACATGCCTGTCTCCATGGCAGCACATAGCAATAAACAATACCTACCTTGGCAAGAATTACTTAGATGTCTGCTAGCTGTAGCCGCTTACTTTTGAGTTGACTATTATGAAAATTTAGATTGGAAATTCACTTGCTTATGACAGAGGTTGGCATGCAGGAAGGCTTTAAGGAGTGTTAGCCATCACTATATTCAAATAACGGAAACCTAAGTAATAGGAAACCCAGACAATAAACCTGATTTGTCCATTTCAAGTGTCCCAAGAAGGATGTCCTAAGGGGATGGTTTCAAGTCTATACACGCAGGCTAACGTGGAAGCTCACTAGAAGACAGAGAGAGGGTGCAGAGTTGGATAGGAGAGAAGGTTGGGAGGATATGAAACTGGGGAAACAATGATCAGAATCTATTGTAGGAAAAATATTTTAAATTAAAAACGATTTATATTATTCAAGTGTATGTCGTGTGTTGTGTACAGGTGCTCTTGGAGGACAGAGGAGGAGGTTAGATTCCCTGGAGCTGAAATTACTGGTGGTCATGAGCCACCCAACGTGGGCGAGGGGACACTCTCAACTGGTAAGACGGAGTTCTTGTTTGCTATCCTTTTTTTTCTTTTTTTTGAGTAAGAAAGTAATAATGAATATCCAGGTCCCAAAATAACAGCCCAGTTAAGGTTATTTTTACAATTCTGAACTACTCAAGCCAAAATGGAAAAAAAAATTTTCCTGTTAAAGAGATTTTCATGTAGTTTTTCATTCAGCTACCTGTAGCCTTAGGCAAAGTACATAGCTAGCAGGCTGCGTGCTGGCAAAGTCATAACCAATTATATTAATTGAAATTTTACATTCCACCTCCACAAAGTAAAGGTTGGAATTATCTCTGGAAAAGCAAAATAGTCTTGCTACAGACACAGCACGGTTTCATGACTGTAGCCATGTTGTTGTCTTCTTGGACACTTATGTAAGCTTGAAAATTATTTCTGAGAGGAATAAGATTAGGGAGATGAATCTTCTGTAAGCACACCAATGTCATTTCCCTCCTAACTCCATCCATTCACCAGCTCTGACACCAGGAATCATAGCTAAGAAGAATTTTACTCCCCTTACCTCTAAGCACAGGTACATAAAGTATCTGCGACATAAATTCAGTAAAGAATTCCAGCCAGGCTGCCCACCAGCTTTAGAGCTTCTCATCCAGATGACCTTTATTGGTTTTGGGAATGGTTGTTGGTAAAGTATTGGTCTGGGCAGTTGGGTTACATATAGTAAGTAAAGCTGGCAAAAAGTCCCTCATCGTTCTAGATATTGTATTCTAGTGCCAAAGGACTGTAGATGAGAGAATATAAAGTATAGAAATATAATTGTGTACATATCAGAAAATGATACAGCAAGAGAGACTCTAGTGCAAGGGGGAAAGCAGCAGAAAAGATGGATGACAAGAGTCTGAGTAAAACTCTGGTCCACAGAGGCAGAGCCCACTACACTCACAGGAACAACCAGAGGAGCTGCAAGAGTGGTGCTTTTTAATGCTTCTATTTTTAGGACACAGAGAATGGCAAGGTATTAAAAATACATGTCATCTTGCTGGCACTCCACCTGTAAGATCGTAATTCCTGGCCTTGTCTCTCAGAGCTCTCGATAAAATAAATTATAAAAGAAATAGGTGGCACTGCCTGAGCACCCAGAGCCTTTGAGGACCGTCCTAATTTCAGTTCTGTTGGTTATCTTGTCTCCTATTAGCTGTCTCAGTCCTCGGGGGATGCAAGAAGAAAGCACTGAATGAGCCTCACAGTTCAATTCAATGAGCACTCATTATTACCTCTTATTTGGCCAGCACGACTTTATTCAATTTACGTTAATGCAAAATTCAGAGCTTCTCGAGGAGCCTGCAGTTGGTGAATTATGTGTGTCACAGATAAATGAACCGTTTGAGAAAGAAAAAAATATGGTAGGGCTCAAGAAGCAGGGATGAGAAGGAACATTGTAGTCTCAGGTTAGCCCAGAGCTTCCTGGAAAAACTGGAGCAAGTTTCAACCTTTGTAAGCAACTGTGTGACAGTGCTCTGAGTGAGATCCGTTGCGGAGGAGGCAGCAGGGAAACCTGCGGATAGAAGCAGAAGGATGAACAGTCTTTTGGGGGCGGGGGCGTGGGGTTCGAGACAGGGTTTCTCTGTATAGCCCTGTCTGTCCGGGAACTCACGCTGTAGACCAGGCTGGCCTCGAACTCAGAAATCTGCCTGCCTCTGCCTCCCAAGAGCTGGGATTAAAGGCATACATCACCACTGCCCGGCTGGATATACAGTCTTGAAGGAAGCCTGACTGAGGGATGACATTTGGGCTTAGAGTAATTAGTCACTAGATTGGTAAGGAACTCCATCCTACCGACTCAGATGAAGGGACTAAAAGTACATATATTTGCACAGTGTGAGCGCCTCGTTAAAGATACAGGGTTGGAGCAAAGAAGTCTAGTTAAGATGAAAAGGCCGGCTTGCCTCAGCTGTTAAGAGCACTGCTTACTTTCCCAGAAGACCCAGATGTTATTCCTACGCCCAAATGGCAGCTCGCAGCCATCCATAACTCCAGTTCTAGGCTTTTAACAACCTCTTTTGACCTCCAAGAGTGTGAGGCACAGGCCTGGTGAACAGACACGCATGCAAGCAAAATACCCAAATATATTAATTTTGTTTAGTTAAATGATAGAACCTTAGATGATTATTTCCATAAAACAGCAAAGACCAGTCCTTTCCTTCAAATTACATGCGCGTACTTCCCTACCCTGTAAGTATCACCTCCCTGTTTCCAAGACTCAGGGCTTGAATCCAGTGGAGGTTCAAGGATTGGAAGAAACAAGCCTGGGGTAAGCTAATTGGCAAGAAGGAGGCGCTCTCGGAATATCCAGTTAGCTTATATTGCAGCAGGCTGTAAGAGGGAACACTTGCCCAAGCAGGCCAGAACGCACTGCTTGCCGGTGCTTCAGTAGGGTGGGGACATACTGCAAACATTTAGTTGCAACAGTGAGCTCAATCCACGCGTGAATCAAAATGTGAGGAAGGAACCGGAGGAGTGGCTCCCTCCACTTCCCTCCTTGGGTTTCTGTAGTCCTGGCCCCGCCTCTTCCCGCCCCACTCCGCTCCTCCCCACACCCAGATTTCGGAGGAACTCGGGTCCCTAACGCTAGCCTCCAGCCCCTCCTCCCGGTCGTGGAGCTGGCTCCCCTCGCAGCCTCAGCTAAGACCCGGAGAGGTGGAATTTCGATTTGAAACTCCCTAGCCAGGGCCGGCGCTGGGCATGCTCAGTGCCTCGGCGTGTCGGGCTGCTGCTAGCTGCACAGGCAGCAGAGGCGCTGCCTGGCTCGGAGACTGGCACTAGAGTCCACCCCACTGTCACCACCGGCTGAGGGCTTCCAGAAGGCCAAACTCTCACCTCCTCTGAGCGCCTTGCCCCCGCCAGCCTCGAGTCCCCATCTCCAGCATCATCCTACTCTCCCATCTCTCCATCCCTTATGGAGACGAAGCCAGTGCTCGGTTCTGTAGGCACGCCACAGACTGCACTGTGAACCCCAGCGGAGGACCCCTATCATCGGATGCCCGGGATCAAAGGACTCTTGGCAGTGGTTCTCCCAAATAGCACTTTGCCTGGAGTGGGGTTGCGGTGGAGTTTCTCCTCCGCCCCTCAATGCACACACTATGAGGAGAGCGGTCGGCTTCCCTGCACTGTGCCTGCTTCTTAATCTTCACGCTGCAGGTAAGGGCTTGCGGGGTTGAGTGCTGAAGCTGAGGAGGAGATGGGAAACAGCACACGCTTAAGGACTCCAGGGAAAGCTTGTCTAGCAGAAGAAGGTTTAGTACAGTATCCCGGGGTGAGAGAGTGCACCTGTTGGAAGGCTGGGGCTGAAAACTTAGGCTAAATTCAGCTCTTCCTTCTTCTTTATCTTGCATGAGGAAGGATGAACATTTTAAATGTGAAGATAGATTTGCTTTCCCCTCCATCGATCTTTCCTGCTTGCGCTTCTAGGCGTTGCACTCGGTTGCACATTTTACAGGAAAAGAGATGATACATCCTGCTGGATGGAGCCCTTCCTACTGCAGCGGCTACCTCCATAAGGTCTCCCAGTTTAGCGAGCGCTCACGGGGATGCCCTGTCCGTACCCTGATGGTCTACATCTCCGCCCCTAAGAGCCAAATGCACGATTTATTCACAACGCTGCTCGGGGCTGCTTTGGCCCCTGTTCTTGTCACTCGGGTTTTTCTGAACCAGTAAGAGTAAGGAAAGGTTTCAAACGGGAGGCTCTTCCCTATTTCAGCACCACGGTCAGTATCTGCAGTCAAAGTAGAAAAACCCAACCACTCTTAGAAGCCTAGAGCTCATCTCTGTCTTCCCAAGATAGTTTCCATAGGAGGCAGCGAGAGTGCAGCCACACAAAAATAGATTGGACATAAGAATGACTATCTACTTCCAGGGATGCAAAACTGATAAGGTGCCTAGGGATTTTTATATTCGGTGTCACCTGACTCCTCTAACACAGTGGACAGGCTCGCTGGACTGCACCCTGTATGATTTTTCACACACGTGAACCAAAATAAAACATGGCAGAGGTTTCCAGAACCCTGCCGAGACCGCAGTTGTTCACGCAGTAGCCCTGTAGCAAGCACAGACCTTTTCTTTGAGTTTCTTTCACACATACTCATTTCTCTAAGTACACCGAATGGGAGTGTATTATGTTACTGTGACCATTAGCGCGTGCCCCCCCCCCCACACACACACACACTAGCTGTGAAACTGCAATCCTTGTGATAGTCCCCAGGAAGACTGAGTGCTTTTTTTTCACGTATGTAATAATGGGAGTGAAATGTAGTACTTTTTTGTTCTGGCTATTGCTATTTAAATGCATTGTGAATTTAGAAACAAACGATGTATAAGAACAATAAAGCTATAATTAAGGCTACATGTTAATTACTATAATTACAGTATCACATTGTAGGGTTTTTAGTGGTTCTCTGGTATCTTGAAAACCAGTGGGGAGAAGAGCAATGACTTGGTTATTAAATTATTTGCAAACAACTGTAATGAATCATTTCATTTCCACATACAATTATTTAACGCTAAAATATATGATGAGAACATAAACACTGTTTATTGCTTTACATCCAATACTATGTAATGGTACCACTGTCAAAAATAACCATTGCCAAAAAAGTTTTCATTGCTACCAAATTAAGTAATTAATTATCTGATAAAATACACCAGTGTAGTTATTCTTGAAAATTATGTATAAGCAAATGTTGAGGGTTGTAATTAATGCATATTAAGTAGTTATAAGCTTAAAATTACAAATAGACTTTATCTTAAGCATGTAGAAAACATTTCTAATTTATTATGGATGAACCCTGGGGATAAGGAAAATAGAGGACGTTTGCTCATCAGAGGTGGGTGAGACCCAGAAGAATGCATCCCTTGATGATGCCTGGAACTTTGCCAAAGCATGTATTACAAAAGTCAAAGCAAATCTATACTCTACGGTTTGGCTTCTTAACCCGCAAAAAGGTTAAAATTAAGATTATCCAGCCAATTTTAGTTTCATAAGGCAACAGGTGATTTGCTATATAGTTCAGGTTTCAATTGCAGTGTGCTACATATATATTAGTTGTATTTGTATTTGATACAGTGCTTTAGAATGGTGTCTTGTCAAAGCAGATTGCAAGTCTGGTATTGTAATTGTCTTGCCAGTTTCAGTTTGGATTCATTTTTTTAAATTTTAAACAGCAATTTGTGGGTCACAAGCTGTCATCAGATTAAAATGTATCATGGTTATCTAATAATACTGTTTGGGCTTTTCATCACAACTCAGATAAATATGGCTATCTTGATCTATGCTCTCACAGATTATGGTAATAAGAAAATAAGTGGTTAGGAGGGCAAAGATCAAGAAGCCCTGAAGCCTTTTACTTGTTGAGTATCTGAGTTAATCTTTTGTAAGGAGAACCATGTTCCCAGTGCAGAGGCTGACTTTATTTTTGGAAAGGACAGTGACACCTGTACACATTAGCTGCCTGGCCGAAAAGCTAATTGCTCAATATCAGTCATACCCAGGTTGCCAGCAACTACTTTATGGCGGCACAGATGATGGTATCTTCGGATACTCCATAAATGGGGTAAATTAAATAATGAGATAGGCTATGAGTGTTCTCAGCTGTGCTGGGAATTGTTGCCTGGGGCATAGCCATGTCTCTAATGGTAAGGCTGGAAATTACTTTCAACATGAGTGCCGTCTCCAATTACTTGGTATGGCTGCCTATGGCCTGGTGACCCAGAGTCCCGACAGTCCCAATAGGGGGGAAACCCGTGATCTGTTTGTAATGTCTGTGGGGATTGTGTACAGTGCAATGCAGTTGTCATTCCTCAGTAAGGAAAGCCAAAGAAGATGCTTAGCTCAGCTCGATAGAGAAGTTGGATGCCATGTGACAGCTAATAGCCACAGACCTAAAGAAACAAAGCATACTTCTCGTCCATCCAGTTGTTTAAGGCATGAATAACAAGATGTAGTAGTGCCAACTGACAACATAGTCTGGAAGAAAAAAACACAGGCTCCCAGACCTATTATTGTATGCTGGATAAACTTCAAGTCCCCAGTATAGCTAAGAACACCAACATCGCATCCCATCAGCCAATTTCTTCCATTTATGGAGCGTTCTAAGATGTCATTGGTAATGTCCTCAATAAAGTAGTTGCTGGCAACTCAGGCAAAACTGGTTCTAATAGAATAAGACACCACGGTGTTAGTGGTGACAAATCCCTTTTCCTTAGCTGTCCTCACTCATTGCACCTTCTGAGATCCAAGGTAACAAAGAAATTCCAGTTTAAAAGCCCACTTCATATACATCCAAAGAGGCAACCCAAAGCCATTATCAATGGGAAGACTGCTTAAAGAACAACCATGTGGAAGATCCACAGACTGTTTATTTACTTAAGTCCTCATTCATTCTTTGCCCAGTGAGGAGATTATGTTAATGTAATAGTATTTTCAATGCCAAGGAGTGAATTTTTTGTGATACCATCAAAGTTATTATCTAAAAGCATTTTTTTTGCAATCAAATATTGTGATATTAAAGGGACTGACTTCAACCCATGATCTTCCTCAGCACTGGACAAGGTACCTTTGGATTCAGATTGCCACGCTATCCTTCCTGCTGTCCTTTATGAATGACACACATTTCTTCAGAGTATGTCTCAAAGGTGTCTCTTTACTCTCCAAGAATTATATAGCACGTTTATCTAGTCTTCCAAAAGAACAGTATTCCTTTCATAGAGCTATAACAATCTAGGAAGTCATTTGCAGAAATTATATGCTCCAGAAAAATGGAAGACTAATGGGAAAAGTAATATATTTTCAGATTATATAGTTCCCTTTGGTTGTCCAAAGTTAAAGATTACTCAAACCAAACACAGTCCTTACAATGTCCAACATCTGCAGCATTCTCTTTCTCTGCTGTCTTTCTTATATACCTCCACCACTTCCTTCTTTAAACTTGTCTCTGCTCATATTAGTCTCTGTTTCCTAGAAAACAATGTACGTATCTTGCATATGCTTTTCTTTGCCAAGGAAAGCCATAACCTCTTTATGATTTGAGATATTTGTCTTTACTAAACTGTGAACTCTTTGGTGGAAACTTCTGTTGGTAGTTTCCTTCATACTTCTCTCTCACAAACTGATGTCATATGCTCCTCAACCTTCTCAGAGGTCGTACATTTCACATAAATGTACCTTCCTTATTTTGCTTATTGCGTTCCCCTTCTCTACACGGGAGTATAAGCCACTTAAGGATTTTTATCTATTTTGTTTTTACTGTATCTATCAGAGATCATATCATGTTGAGTGATGAGACTTTGTTTTCTTTTCTTTTATTGGATATTTTCTTTATTTTCATTTCAAATGTTATCCCTTTTCCTGGTTTCCCCTCCAGAGCCCTCCTATCCCCTCCCCTCTCCCCCTGCTTCTATGAGGGTGCTCAACCACCCACCCACCCACTCCAGCCTTCCTGCCCTGGCATTCCATTACGCTGGGCATCGAGCTTTCACAGGACCAAGGGCCTGTCCTCCCATTGATGTCATCCTCTGCTACATATTTAGCTGGAGCCATGGTTCCCTCCATGTGTGTACTCTTTGGTTGGTGGTTTAGTCCTTGGAAGCTCTGGGAGGTCTGGTTGGTTGATATTGTTGTTCTTCCTTTGGGGTTGCAAACCCCTTCCGCTCCTTCAGAGAGGAAACCCATGACAGATGAAAGTATGAATACTACCAAACTGCAATTTGGTGAACCAATGAGTTTTGGGGACCTCATGTGCAGAAATATGGGTGAGGGAAAAGAAATGACTCAAAGACAGTTACATCACCAAAGACCACCTTGGTTGGCATGGATGATAACTCACAAAAGCTGAGAACCGGGCACATAACCATTCCCTGAACTAAAACACACTGGATAGTGTCATTTTCAAGTGACTAGATTAGCCAAAACTTCTTCCAGGCAGCCTCGTGGGTCTCTGCTTCTGGGAAGCTGGTCTGGTCTCAGAGTCTTCTTTGTAGCTTGGTTTGTCTGAGAGTGACTCTTTCCAGACTTTCATGTTTACTCTTAAGAGGGAGGGACCTAGTCAATCTGCTCAATTTCTGAAACTTCCTGAACCTATTTGGAGTTGTTCCTTACTGGTTTAAGGATCTTCCCGGTAGGATAGAATGTTTCAATTTCTGTGGAA